CCCCAAAACCCCAAAACCCCAAAACCCCAAAACCCCAAAACCCCAAAACCCCAAAACCCCTCTGAGGTAAAATTTTATTGAGGAATATAATTTGGCAATCTCTTGTCAATGTTGTAATCAGGGTCTCTATCTCATTCTTCTCAATCAAAGTTATACCCAGTTCTTTTATCAACATCTGTATATTCCTTCAAGCTATCAGGGACAGTCCAAATTGAAGCTACTGATCCACCTGTACTCAGAAGCATTTCCTTAGTGGTCTTCTTAGACCTAAATCGAGGTTTTAGAGGAGATTGAGGTTTTGGAAGAGCACCGAGATTCAGACCAAAATCTCTGCTATTCCTATAGGTTTGCTGTGCTTGTTCTGTAGGATTTTCAAAAGTAACATAATTCTCTCTATTAGCCCCTTTGATCTCATGTAGGACGATCTCTCCTGGAACATTCTGAGCAATATTTGCTGGTGTTTTCTGATAATCTGAACTCTCAGCACTTGAATGGAAATGTTGTGATCCTCCATTTTGAATATGTTCATAGCTGGGTTCTTCATTTTGGAGGTATTCAAACTTTTGAAGATTCTCAACATGTTCATAATATTTCCTTTCTTGCTCTAATAACTCTTGCTCAAATTGACTCCGTTGCCATTCTAGCCTGTCATCATAGATATGCTCTAAAAGATAAAAATATGAAGCGCATAGTACTTACCTCTTGGATCTGACTTCTTGGCATTTTCTTGATACTTTTTAAGTTTCTTAGACTTAGCTGTCCTTTTAGTCTTCTTCCTCCTACTTTTCTTTTTCTTTTTATCCAAAATCATCTGAAGGTAGTCATCAAGAGTCCTTTCAGAGGGAGACTTCGATCCTTCTGTAGAGGTGTCTCTTATAGACATAACTTTAGACTTAACCTCAGCATAAGTCAGTTCAGGGCCACTAGCTATTTGCTTTTTATTACGCTTAGTCTTTTTCTTAGAACGAATCACTTTCTTAGGCATCTGCTGGATCTCCTCAGCTTCTTCATCAGAGATCTTGATCTCTTCGGTTACTAAGTTCTTCTCAGGATCAACTTCAGGTGTGATCTTTCTTCCAAGAACTCCTTGAAATAGCTGATGGATTTTCTTCTGATGGAACCTCTCTCGTGATCCTCCGCTTGGCGACCGGTCACTTCTGAAATAGAGGTCTTTGTTTTTGCTAGAAGTCCTAGTGTAGTCCTTTAAAGTGCTATTCTGTGCATCCTTTAGGTTGCCAATCCCCCTTTGTTCGTTTACATAAGCTTCTATTTCAGCTAAGGTTTTAGACTGGGCCTTCCCATCTCTGTCTTTCTTGATAGAAATGTATTTTCTGATACTTGAATTTTGGGTCGAGTTGAGATATCGAGGTGAATGGGTCTCTAGGTCGCTGGCTTTAAGTTTTTGCTTTATTACTTTTCTTGTCGGAGTATACTTCTTATGTATACTCTTCTGGAAATTCTCACCCAGCTTAACAGAAATACTTTGATATTTATAAGGATTATTCATCATTTCTTTGAAACTTTGTTGACTTGCCCGAGTTGTCATATTACCCTCTATCCTTGGCTCTCCAAACTATATAACAAAGTAATTAAATATCAAATATTGAAAATTTTAATCTTTGTGCAAACAAGCATCATCAAAAACATGAGAAAGTAAGTACAAATCTTATGAAATCTCATCCATTAAACCCAGTCCCTCCATGCTCAACTTTAAATCCTAAAACCTTATACTATCTCCAACATCTATGTGCTATCAAAATTCTTGAGAACACTCGATTAACCCCCAATTTTGCTAAAAGAGCTAAAATAGGATTAAAATGGCCAAATGCAGAAAATAAAACTTATTTGACCAAAAATTCCAACTAACGATTAATTCTTGGGTGAGCTTACGATCCGTTTCTTCTGGATTATAGTAGGAGTCGTGCTAACCGACACCTCCTCATACAGACTGGTAACTGACTTCACTGGCTTGGCCTTCGGCGTCGACTTCAGAGTAGCTGAAAAGGATGGGGATTTTCGAGGAATCCTAATCGTTTTATTCACTAGAATTAGACGGAAGTTTACTTGTAGGAGAAGCAAATAAATATTCACCCAGTGTTCCCCGATGTCTTCTATTATAAGCCCGACTTCAGGATATATGAGTCCCTGTGTTATGATTAGGGTGTACGTTTAAATGATCTCGGCTCCAAGAAGTATCTCGGCTATAAGAGTTAGAGGGATAAACATGCTTACTTATTTAACGCGCAATTTGAGTTACCACATTTATCCTTCTGAAAGTTCAGAATTGATCTACTTCTGAACCTTTTTGATGATTTCTCATCAGCATTAAGAGGCGATAATCCTCTGTCAGGGCTCATATGGTTATGATACCTGTCATTGGATCCATCATCTGAGAAAATAAAAGTATTTTGTCCGAACCCAGGTTCCATGGCGAAATAAAATTTTAATACGGCTTTTATTATATATTTGCAAACTTCAAAGGGGTTTTGGGGTTTTGGGGTTTTGGGGTTTTGGGG